CGTCGTTGTCGTTGCTATCGTCGTCTCTGTTGTTGCTATTACTTCCACTATCATTGTCTACTATGTATATTATTATGATATTTACTAGTACTACTATTCTCAATCGAAAAAGTCAGTTATATAGGAAACATACCCGCGCAAACACAGAAAAGTCAGGCAGTCTCATCATTATGTGCAATCAATCCTCTCCAACAACCACCAAACAACAACACAAACAGACCTCGCCAACCAACTTTGGCAAAAGACCAACATCTCACCTCGCCAAAGCTGTGTAACCTACACCCACGACCTGCTCCCCAAAGTACCTACCGACCTCCCGTAGCATGCATATTCCAGACCCCCTCCACCGGCGCCGCCGCACGCCGATACCGTCGCACAGCATGACGCAAAGACGCACCTCTCCCAATCCTCCCACCTCCCCATGCCGCTGCGCCACCGCCCATCGTGCAGCACCCGCCAAGCACATGTTTGTACGCAGCACCCGCAGATGCGTATATGCAGGCGCAGGTGAGTGTGATGACGGGGGTCGCATCACCCTCTGGCACTGTACCTCAGACCCGCGTCTAGAACCATCGAGGCGGCTGCGGCCAAGGGCGGGGGTGACGGAGATTGGCGACACCGTGCGTGTGCCGAAGGGCTCGGGTTAGTTGCCGTTGGGCAAACGCGTGCCGCCCGGGAATGTTACCTGCCGCAGTAGTGGCTATCGGCCAAGCTATCGCCGGCCGCCATCGGCGGTGCGTTTGATGTGCCATTGCGGGTTCCGTCTTACTGCGTCTCGGGGGGTTATCTTGATCGGTCCCGAGAACCAACAATGCCGATCACACACTCAGGTTGCTGGCATGATGAGACTTGCTTTCACATGTCAACACAGAGACTGGCCCATGATGATTGAAGTGTTCCATTATTAATATCGTGTCGTTCGTCAATTATGGACAGCCACATGTCTAGTGTCCCCCTCAAAGCAAAACGCCCCGTGATCTACCAAAGATACAACTTTTGAGCCGCTTCATTCTGCCTTGTCTCTTATCTTCATTGCACCGATTGCGGCGTGCCGTTTATGTAACGGTGTAACCGCCGTCAACACGGAGATCCGCACCGGTCACGTACTGAGAGGCGTCGGACAGCAAGAAGGTCACGGGACCCATGAGGTCCTTGGGCTGTCCCATCTTGCCTTGAGGGATGAGGGATGTCCACTTCTGCTTCAAGTCGGGGTTGTCGTTGAGAATCTTCTCGGTCCTGAATCATTGTGTCAGCAAACCGTCACATGGTCGATCCGATACGAAGTGGCTTTGGGCACTTACAAAGCCGTAAGCATGTAACCTGGAGAGATGCAATTGACACGAATGCCGGCATGGGCCCATTCAACGGCCAATGAGGCTGCCAGGTGGCGGATTCCAGCCTTGGCGGCGTTGTAAGGTCTGCAGTCGTGTTAGCTAACACTTATGTTCTAGAACCATGGCGTTCTTGGGTGACACGTACGCTTGGGGCTGAGGCACGTTGACGATCGAACCAGACATGCTTCCGATGAAGACCATGCTGCCGGGGGACTTGCGGTCCATAAGGTGCTTGGCGACGGAGATGGCGAAGAGGTAGGTACCATCAACATTGACGCCCCAGAGCTTGCGCATGCGATCGATCGGGTAGTTGACGGCATCAAAGTTCTCTGTAAAGCCGGCCGAAGTGACGAGGTTGTCAATCTTGCCGTGGGCATCAATGATCTCAGCGATGCACTTTTCGACGGAAGCGGGATCCGAGACGTCGGCATAGTGGGCGGTGACGTTGGGTACACTGCAGAGCGGTTAGGCGTCATGCGCTCTCACAGACGATCAGTGAGTTTGAGTAACTTACGTCTTGGCTTCTGGGTTCTCCCTCTTGAAAGCTTCAGTCAGGTTCTTGGCCTGAAGCTCAGCTTCTTCCTCTGCTTGCTGTCAGTCCCCAGTTCATCCAATGAGAATACGGACGAACTCACTGTTCAGATCAACAATAGCGAGATGACTGCCAGAGTAGACCATGCCCTGGCCCATGACCAGACCTAAGCCACGAGCGCCGCCTGTGACGACGCCGACATGACCCTCAAGAGAGAACGATGCGAGAGTAGGCTTGCCAATACCACCGCCGGAGCCACGAACAGGTTGACTAGACGGGAGCTCATGGTCTTCGGGGTACTCGACAGTGACATCAGGATCAGTTCGGGAGTATTGGCCTGGGTGAGGCTTCTCCTTGACGTTTCGGCTTCCACTGATGTTTCTGGCCTGCTGCTGTTGAGACTTGGTTGCTGAGATACTGGCAGCGGCAGTGGCGGAGGTCTGCTTGCTGCGAATCTGAGCTGTGTGCGTGATGGGGCGGATTGTCCGCGCAAGGCGGGCGCTGAGAGGGCGGAACATTGTGGGTTTTGTGTGTGAATCACAGAGATGTGTTCTTTGGTGAGTGTCTGAGTGCTGTCAAAGGAATGAACGGATAAGGGTTGGTTTAAGGTTCCCGCAGCGGGAGAAGGAGTGGAAAGTAAACGGTCGTGAGTGTTGGAATGGTTCACTTCTCCAAGTGACAGGAGCGGGATGATGTCACCAGGCTGCTTTTTGTTGAGCGGCGACTAGAGTAAGCTGAGAAAGCTCTGCTGTATATCTGGCCGATCAGAAGTAGCTCAGAGCAGAAAAAAGGTCGCCAAAAGAAACAACTCGAGGAGCTCTGGTGGGGTAGATGACGTGGGACGAGGAAGGTGATTGACTCTGATCGTCTGGAATCGAGCCTAGATCGGGAAATCGTCGTAGTTGGGGTCGGTTGGAGGAGGCTCGTATTGGGGATTTGGAGGTTGGGAGGAGACGGCGGAAGGTATGGAAGCTCGCTCGAGGAAGAGGGGAAGCAGGTTCGTTTATGAGGAACTCCAAGTGCAGGCAGGCAGGGCAGAGGAAAAGAAATAGCTGAGGTTGGGTAGGAAGGAAGGAGGGAACGGAGGTGTCGTGTAAGTGCGGTCAAGCTGCAAGGAAGACGGCAGCCACCTGAGGAAGGTAGGCAGGGCAAGTAGGCAGGTAGGTACCTTCCTTGGGCCACAGAAACTCACGATACTTGGGCAGGTGGACGCGTCTCGTCACTTCCATGGCAAAATCACGTCTCACCCTTCGCACCTGCCGTCTGCCACCTGCCACCTGCACGCACTGCCTCGCGGGGAGCTGCCCCGGAGCTTGGGCAGGAAGCCACGCCCAGGACATCCATGGATGGAACGAAGTTGTTGTTGCCGCTCTAGGTCGCTGCCGCCACTAGGGACTGGGACTGCACCCCCGAGGCGGGGGTGGATAGCTGAGGTGGTTGTGGTCCAGGTCTTGCCGTCACATCCCGGCTCGCCCGGCTGGGACAGCTCCCGAGTGCCTGATTCTGGCCATGATGCCCAATCGAATTGGCCACTGGCGTTGCAGTGGCCTGCGAGTTTACCCCCAGTTCTGGGAATTGATGGGAGCCCCCCTGGTCTAGATCCTCCACATCGTTGGCCCGCCTCCAGTCTTTGGCTGTCCCTCTTCCACCTCCCGCAAGGGACCCTGTGGAGCTAGTCCAGAGAAAGGATGAGCTTCGTCTCGAAAGAGAGAGAATCTTGAACGACCTGTGACCAAACATGCACCTTGCTCCAACCAGTTTTTGGTCTTCTCTCGAGCAACAAGATTGGGCATCTTCGGCTTTCTTCCCCACAGCTACCCCAATTTTCCTACACCGGACGAAGTTCTAGAATGCCCTGAGATTTGGGGGGCCAAGGGCCTGGCCATCTGACCTCCTGCTCTCCTGAGCCCTGGCCTGGGAGCTCCGGTTTGGAGCCCCGGTGAGCGGACGGCTGCTTCAAGGCCAAGCAATCAAAGGCAAGGGAGCCTCCGCCGACGCATCTATTTTCCTTTTTGCTGTTCCCATGTCCCAATGTCACCTCATCACGTTGATTGGCACTTCCATGCTGTTGGTCCGGACTCTCTCCTGTTACCCACTCCACGATCATTTTCTGTTGAACACGAGATTGGAAGGGAGGTGGCTGACAGACCGACATTACTGATTTTCATCCCACCCATCCCCCTCCTCCGTCTGTTCCGCCCGTATTCTGTCGTCGTCCGATCACCGCCAGGTCCCCGGATATGCCAGTCACTTGACCAGCTCCGCGAAACGGGAAGCCGCTTTCGGCCATCCGCTTACAATTGCCATACTCCATGTGTGTCGGGGTTTCTGGAAGCGCATCCCACGCATCGGCTTTTGTGCGACTTCCAACCCGCGCACTCGCAGCCTGTTTCTGATATCCTCATGCCTCTTGCGTCCACCTAGCCGGAGCATGAAGTGCGGTGTGTGAGAACTTGGTTGTAGATTATTTCGCACCATTCAACCCTGTGCTTCGACAGCCCCTTCACTCACCGACTAATTTAGAAACTGATAGCTCCCAGCAGTGATTCGAATGTGGCCTGAATTAAGCATCGATCCTGAAAATGAAAAAACGTAGTCCTAAACCACATACGGGCTTGTCTACTTGGACGAACTATCGACACCTAGTCTGTTTACATCTACTTCGGATACTCCCCGAATCTTCGAAGCCTTCAGAGTAGTTGTTTGAATGATCCTACCAGCGAGCTTTTGCATTCTTAGTCGTACCCTTGGACAGCATGATCGGGATGATAGATATGACAACGATACGATGACGAGGACTACAAGGTCATCTACGGAAATAACGAAGCCATTTTGAACGATACATACGGTGTAATACAGTCTTTCCTTTCCTCGAGAAGCAAAACTCCCATATCTTTGACTAAGGTTCTGACGATGGTCAGATACTGGTCCAAATTTCTCATGACAAGAAGTGCATACCAGGACGGCTACTCTGTTGGTGACCTTGCTGGTTGAATACGATGTGCGTTTCAGAGGTCGACGCTCGAAAAGTACCCAGCCAGCAACAGGAAATAAATCCATAGAGACGTCCAGTTTCCTAATTCTCACTCAAGACTCTGCGCATCAGTGCTGGGAATGAACACTACTTGGAGTTGTTATTCAGACTCAGTGTCCCAATCATCTGAGGACACTTCAAGACTGGAAGCCCAACGCGACAGAGCTTCTATCAACTTGTCAGTGTCCTCGTCCGACTCACAGCGGGCCCCATGTTGCATTAAACACAAGACGTAGTCTGACTGGTGCAGGCGAAGCGGCGTATCAAACAAATCCAAGGTTGTCGACCCATCACGACCCCCGAGATTGATATCCACACCCCTTTGCAACAGCTTCTCACAAATCCTTTGGGGCAATTCAATGTCATTGTTAAGCATACGGAACAATCGCACCATCTCGGGCTTGTCGTGGACAGCTGTCATTCGATAGTTCAAGGCTCTGAATGTGTTCTGATCGAGGAATAGTTCAACTTCAGTGCCCATACTAGCATCGAGGAGCATTTCGGCGACCTTCAAGCTGCCGAAAACCAAGGCTGTGTCAATCGGTCGTGCAGAATTTGCATCAGTCGCGTTCACGTCAGCACCGTGCGCCAGAAGAGTCGGAATAAGTGCCCCGTGGTCTTCATGCGCCGCCCAATGAAGCGCGGTTACCCCATCACGATCCCGTTCGTCGACATTGGCGCCACGCCTCAGCAATACTTCTGCGACGCCTACCACCTCGCTGTCAGATCTGCCCAGTGCAATCAAACTGAGAGGTGTTAACCCGGTCTTTTCGTTCAAGGCATTAGGATCGAAACCCTGGTCCAGAAGAAATTCAAATACTGGTCCAGAGCCGGTGTGGAGGGCATATCGGATAGCCTCTGGATCTAAGGATGTTGCTATACCATTATCATACAGAAGCTTCACAAGCCTGACATCATATCCTCCAAGTGCATGGAAGAGGAGCTGTTCTGTGAGTGAAGTGGGTATTCTTTCTTGACGCGGGACGGGATATTCGTTTGCGTCTCTGCAGACGTGTTCGAGCAAAGTCTTTGCTATTCGGTAATGCTGCTGCTGAAAAGCTGCTTGTAGAGCGCATGCTTGACTTGGATGACCTTCAGTGACGCGGGCGCCCTCGGCGAGAAGTAGATCGACTGTGTCTTCGTGACCGTAGAAGGCAGCATGGCATAGGGCAGTATACCTCCCTTGCATTCGGTTAATGTAGTCCTTGTCCTGATGCCGCATGCGTCTGAGTACCTTCGACATCATGGAAGTCAGTCCGAGAGCTGGGAGTATTTGTAGAAGACTGACATCTTCCTCTTCAACTTCCACAACGTCTTTCTTTTCGCCAAGTGGGTGGGTGAAAACGTAAAACCACTCGTCACGAATAGGCGAACGGTCATGAAAAAAAGGCAAGTCGAAGTTGACCAATCCATCTGCTGCTTCGGCACAGGCTTTCGCGTGTGAGGGCCAAGAAAATACCGCATATGAGATCCATTTGCGATTAAAGTTGCGTTCTTCCAAAATCATGTCGTCATAAAGCGTGACGTGGATTCCGGGCTCCCGGATCTGGCGTCTTGACTCCATGGGCACAAGTGCACTGCTTGATCGCAAACATATTTCGGCCATCTCACGATGGACTGCCTGTGACTCGAGTTGAAATCCGTGTGGTGCGTGGTTGTCCTCCTCTTCATCTACTGGGCGAATAAGGTAGTCCCCAACTGAACTGTGGATCAGTGAAAGTCTCTCTGCCCAGCACCATGTGTCGGTTTTGATTAGAGATCCTGACATTGACACAAGATCTCGCACCTTCTGAAACACGGCCTGGTTTTCTGCACAATCAGGATACCATGCCTCAGCCACTTGAGATACAGACAAAGGCCTAACAGCTGATGCTACCCAGTGAAGAAGGCGTGCCACATCTTGGCGCCACCGAGAAGGAACATTGGAGAGAATCCTGGCGTAGATAGCGTCTAATCCCCCAGGCACCTCCTCCAGAACTTGTCTCATCTCGGTTTGATTGTCCTTGCTCAAAATCTCATTGAGGACCAAGCCAGCCCATAGAAAAGTTCCACTGCAGCGTTCTCGAATCATCGAGGTGACGTTGTTCCAAAAGCCTTCATCGATGGTTGGATAGACCGGATGCTCTCTAATCTTTGCGTCAACAAAGTGATGTACGTCTGACGTGATATATTTGGTCTTGGATTCGAGGTCCAGACGCAGAAATCCATGAAGTCCCACGATCTTACGGCTGAGGACCACAATCTTGAACGTGTTTAGGGTCTGCCGAGCCGCCCTTCCGGAAAAGCCAAAAAGTTTTCGAAGATCCGTGATGAGCCGATTCACGCTGCCGTCTTTACACTCGTCGAGACCGTCCAAGAGACAAACCACGGGTCCAAGGCTGGGGTCATTCAGCACGTCCGTGAGAATCTGCCATAGAATTCCACGCGAGTTGAGAGTGTCTCTGACTCTATTCGCTGTTGCCATACGGCTGAGGGCGTGCTTGGCAAGCGTAGGTGTTCGTTTGAATATTTGATGGAGTAGCGTTCTTAGTATAGCAGTTGCCGTGCTCTTCTCCTCGTTTCGATGGCTGCAGAAATGAAACAAAACGTGGGTAGAGTCGTCGGCGAGAGACTCAAGTTCATCGGTAAGAAATATGGAAAGCATTGTCTTGCCCTGGCCAGGACTCCCAGAAATCCAGAGGAGTTGGGAGTACTCGTTGTTCAGCCAGGCGTTGTACATCTCGTCATCCCGGATCCAATGGCAAGTTCCGTCCGTTACTTCGCCTTTGATGTTGATTAGTTCGTCTCGGTCAACCTTGGGATCTGTCACGTAAAAGGCTTCGATGCAGCCCTTCAGCTTAATTTCGGGGTTGTCGTTGTCTATGGACAATCAGTTAACGCATTCTTTTGCAATAACAGGCGTCATACTCACCTGAGCCGAAATAATTCACTCCCACTATGCCCGTCGCGCCGGGCCCAATGTTCACATTACCAATTGTGATTGGTGGTTGATCCATTATGTCGGCGGTTGTGGTTGCACTGCAAACCGGAGCATATGTCTTTGTAACTTACACTCGTCTTGGGACAATGCCGTACTTTTTATATTTCCAAAAGATTTTCAGTGCCTGCTTCTGTAGTCAAGGGAATCAATAAATGTCCTCGTAGATGCTAGACTATGGAATTGCCGTTTCTCTTCTCGTGCTTTCCATACTCTGAATCTAGCCTGAAACCGTTGAGCTTGTGGGACTTCGTTGTTCGTCTCCTTGAAAGAAGCCAAGCTTCACATGTACTATTTTCTGTATCGAATCACTAGAAAGCAATAAATATTTCTTTCAAGACTTTCGAGACATTCAACGCAGTTTCAAATCCGCGGGCTCTTGTTGGAGCTATTCAAGGCCCCTTAAATTGGCCTCTCAGCTGACCTGCTTGCTTCGTTCTTGGCTTTCGGCATCCAGTCATCCTGACCACAACTCCCATAAGCCCAGAAGTCATCTTTTTGCATGTCATGGCCGAGATTATCGGGACCGTTTCTGGGGCCTTCGGCCTCACAACCACGGTCTTGCACAGCATCAGAGTCATTTCCAGCGACATTGATGGTATAAAACGAGCGTCTCAGGACATCTTGAGCCTCAAACGAGAACTTCGAAGCGTCGAATGCCTGATCCAAAGCCTCCAAATTTCGCTGGAGGCGGAAGCTGAGACCGACGACAGCCAAGAACGCGTAATCGTGACCGCACTCCTCGCCTGCGATTCTTCGTGTGGAAACTTCCGTCGTGAATTCTCTGGGCTTTTGAGTTCGACAGACGGAGGTTTGAACTTGGTTGACAAGATCAAATTCGGGCTCTGGACCAAGAAGAGGATGGAGCCTTTCTTGGCTGATCTGAGCAGCTGCAAGTCAACCGTCAGTCTGGTTCTCAGTGGCGCAAACTAGTAAGTTCTCAGATCCAGTCTGCTTTGAATCTGTGGTCCCAAGCCACCAGTCATATCCAAAATGCTAAACATCAATGTGACAGCTTTGCAGCACGCGAGCAATTCAAGCAACTTCAATCCGTTGTTGCTAAAGAAGCGACTGAACCACGCCACCAAGATGAACGCATTGTTGAACCTGAGGACGACTTTCGACGGGCAGAGCAGTGGTCCCAGGGCTATCAGGAGCAGCTGTCTTTGTTGTTGAGCAAGGTTAATTTGAATCGGACCAAATTCAAAATGGGCCGAGTGGACATGGTGGACTCGCATGGCGCCGTTGGTCTCAACAATGTAGACGGAACAGAGGGCGACTTGGATATTCAATTTGGCGATGTCAAGGCCGAAGGATCTCGGGCTGTGATTGGATACAACAAGAACATCAATCTCAATGCGGTTTTCCAATAGACGCTGCATATCTGGTGGAATATGGACTGCCATCGGAGGGTTTGGGGGAAGGGTCGCACTTCAGGTTTTCAAACTCTGGAATTCTGTACCGGACACCATTGCGGCCATGCAAAGTATTCTTAGATCTTGACATTGAGTAAACTGGTCTAATTATTTTCCACTTGAATATCCAAAAACTTGATATTCCCCGTACGCCAGCTCTTTTCTACTACGCAAGATGAGCGTATTCCTTGTTAAACGCCCTTCCGATGACCATTCTCCTGATCTCCGATGTACCAGCTCCGATTTCATACAATTTGGCGCTGAGATTTTGTTAGCGTCTGTGTTCAAGATCCCAACTCAAAGGTACTTACTCTCTCAACAACCTAGAAGCTGGCATCTCCTCCACGTAGCCCATGCCTCCAAGAAGCTGGATGCTATCCAATGTACACTCTGTTGCTCTTTCGGCAGCATACAGAATGGCACCGGCGCAGTCTTGTGTACGGATAATTCCGTTCTCGTCAACAGCCTTTGCTGTGGAGTAGGTGTATGCCCTTGAGGCCTGCAGCTTCGTGTACATATCGGCCAGCTTGCCCTGGATGAACTGGTTCTGGGCGATGGGAATGCCAAACTGCTTCCTCTGGTGAGTGAAGGGCAGCGCTACGTCCAGCGCAGCTTGCATAATTCCCAAAGGCCCGGCGCTGAGAACGAGACGCTCAAGGTCGAGACCCTCCATCAGAACGCGAACACCTCCGTTGAGCTTGCCAAGGATGTTCTCCTTGGGTACAAACACGTTGTCGAAGTTGAGCTCGCCGGTGTTGCTACCGCGCATGCCCATCTTGTCGAGTTTCCTGGCGCAGCTGAATCCCTTGGTCTTGGTATCGACAAGGAACGCAGTCATGCCCTTCGAAGCCTTCTCAGGCTCCGTCTTGGCATAGACAACGATGAGATCGGCATCGGGGCCGTTGGTGATCCACATCTTAGAGCCGTTCAGGACGTAGCCGCCATCGACCGCCGTCGCTGTTGTCCTCATGCTAACAACGTCGCTGCCAGCGCCAGACTCAGACATCGCCAGAGCACCAACGCTGGTACCGGCAATCAGGCCTGGGAGGTACTTCTGCTTCTGCTCCGGGGAGCCATTGAGCTGGAGCTGGTTGACGCACAGCTGCGAATGCGCGGCATAGCTGAGACCAATCGAACCGGAGGCCCTTGAGATCTCCTCCATCACAACGCAATGCGCCTGGTAGCCCATGGCCAGACCACCGACATCCTCGTCGGCGGTCATGCCCAGGAAGCCGGCCTCGCCCAGCTTCTGCCACATCTCGTTGGGGAAGGCATTGCTCTTGTCCGTGTTGGCGGCGACCTCCTCGGTGATCTCGCGCCTCGTGAACTCCTGCACGCGCTCGCGCAGCTCGGAAAGGTCGGCTTCTGACGGAGCTTCAAACCCCTTAGGATGCTTTGAGGAATGACGTCGGGATTGAAGGGCGGGGGCGGCCAAGGGTCGCAACTGGCGAGCCGGACGCGCCAGCGATCTGAATACTCGAACACTCGACATAATTGCGCTCCAAAACAAATACAGGCTTCAAAAAAGGAGAATTGAGAGAAGAGGAAGAGGAAATTGGCTTGTTCTCTTGTTGTTGATCCGAGTTACCTTAGCTCGACGCCGCAGCAGAGGTCCAACCGGGAGAAGAAGGTGCTCGGCTACGGGCGGCTTTTCGCGGACCGAGGCCAATGGCTTGGACGTCACACGCTGGAATGGAATCCCGTTAGCAAGCGAGCTCTCCCCTCGAAACATCCTCCCATATCCAAGGCCACCGTCGGCAAATGTAGTTTGTTCTTCTCCATTGCCCCCTTCTCCAGTCGCCGTACCGTTGGCAACATCCTTCGCTCACGTCTCGAAAATGTCTTTCTCACGGTCGACAAGAGATGTCCTGCTGCTGTCGCGTCAATTGACCCGGTCGAGCTTCAGGGCCCCCCGCCTCCCGCGATCCTCTCGCACCGTCGCGACCTTCACCCCGCCGCACCAGGCGAGCGCCATATCCCGAATCCAGACCAATGTCGACCCTACCTCGGAGGAGTTCAAGGAGAATGAGCGGCAGATGGGCGAGGTCATGCAGAAGATGCAAGACCTGACAAGGAAGGTGCACCTCGGTGGTTCGGCTAAGGCAAGGGAAAAGCACATTGCGAGGAAGAAGATGCTGCCGCGCGACCGAGTCACTGCGCTGATTGACCCGGGAACGACCTTCTTGGAGCTGTCTCCTCTGGCTGCACATGAATTGTACCCTGAGGCCGACGTACCCGCAGGCGGCATCATCACGGGTGTTGGTGTTGTCGAGGGCGTGACTTGTGTGATTGTTGCCAACGACAGCACGGTGAAGGGCGGCACATACTACCCGATTACCGTGAAAAAGCATCTAAGGGCGCAGGCCGTCGCACAGGAGAACAAGCTTCCGTAAGACGCTCCTGTCCTGCGCATGATCAATCGAGAAAACTAACATTGGGTAGCTGTATCTACATGGTCGACAGCGGCGGTGCCAACCTCCCCCACCAAGCGGACGTCTTCCCGGACCGTGATCACTTCGGACGCATCTTCTACAACCAAGCAAGGATGAGCTCGATGGGAATACCCCAGATTTCGGTCGTTATGGGTCCGTGCACCGCTGGCGGGGCTTATGTCCCCGCGATGAGCGACGAGAGCATCATTGTCGAGAACCAGGGTCACATTTTCCTTGCGGGCCCGCCGTTGGTGAAGGCTGCCACGGGTGAGGTGATCAGCCACGAGGAGCTGGGAGGCGGCAAGATGCATTCCTCGGTCTCCGGCGTGACCGATTACCTCGCGGTTGACGATGCCCATGCAATCACCCTTGCGCGCCGTAGCATCAGCAACCTGAATTGGCCGAAGAAGTCCCCCGCCACGATAGCGCCGGTACAAGACTACGCTGAACCTCTTCACTCGCCCGAAGAGCTTCTGGGAATTGCCAGCACAAACCTGAGGAAGCCCCTGCCCATTAAGGAGGTCATTGCTCGTATTGTGGACGGCTCTGAGTTCTCCGAGTTCAAGCAAAATTTTGGAACCACCCTTGTCACCGGTTTTGCCCACATCCATGGTTACAAGGTTGGCATCGTCGCCAACGACGGTATCCTATTTGCAGAGTCCTCCGTCAAGGGAGCCCACTTTATCGAGCTGTGTGCTCAGCGAGGCATTCCGCTAGTCTTCCTCCAGAACATCTCTGGCTTCATGGTTGGCTCTGCTGCGGAGCGTGGGGGTATCGCCAAACACGGCGCCAAGCTGGTGACGGCCGTCGCTTGCGCCGATGTACCAAAGTTTACCGTCGTTGTTGGTGGTAGCTACGGTGCGGGCAACTACGGCATGTGCGGCAGGGCCTACAGCCCGCGCTTCCTCTGGATGTGGCCCAACGCCCGAATCGGTGTCATGGGCGGTGAGCAACTGGCTGCTGTAATGGAGACTGTTGGAAAGCAGGTCGATCCTGAATTGAAGGAGAGAATAGAGCGGGAGAGCGATGCTACCTACTCATCTGCCAGGTTATGGGTAAGTCACAGCGCAACATCCACGTCACCGATACTTGCTAACCATGGTTCATAGGACGACGGAATTATTCCCCCGCAGCACACTCGCAAGTACCTTGGGTTGGGTCTCAGGGCAGCTATGTCAGGCCGTAATGAAGTAAAGGCTGGTGATACCAAGTTTGGCGTATTCAGAATGTAAAAATGCTTAGATTTAGGATCATCCATGAGGCGTTGGGAGAAATGCATCAACAAAGTTCTTACACCCGTTGTTGAGGCGCCTGCACGGCAGCCCAAGTATCACCTAGTCGTTTCAGTCTACGGACAAGGCGCGTCAATGAACGGCAGTGGTCGATCGAAAAGCACACGATCAACTCGTCTCGCCAATGAACGTCGCCTCACCAATTGCCCGCTAATGCCGGGGCTTGGTGTTATCCGAAGCTCATTAAGAGCGGCTAGATGTCCCGGCCGTTTTCCCGCGGTTGCATTTGACGCCACGCCGAGCATCTCAGATTGCCGTCTTGACAACGGCTACAAACCCAAAATCAGATGGTAAAAAGCCCATCTCGGCCAAACAAAAGGAATGGCATCCGGGACGGACTGCCTAGTTCAGAAACATTACGGGGCCAAGTTCTGCAGCAGATCGGGCCAGGAGCCAATTGCGCGGACCGAGCTCCGGGGACCCACCGGCCGCCACCCCTGCTCTTTGCCGGCGGTGTACCTCGGGCTCCATCTTCTTCATTCTTCATTGCACTCCAATCCTACGCGGCTTGATGCCGGCAACCATGGAACTCAGTCCTCTCCCCACGCATTCTGCGGGTCAAACGTGCCAGCAAGAAATAACGTGGCTACAGATACGACCATCCACGTGCCGTCTGGCTGAGTAGCATCATGGCAGCTACACCCGACATTTCGTCTAGTGAAAGGTCGTGCCATCTGATGATCTCATGGAAACGACATTGGCCATCTTCCGATGTCCGACGAAAATCAGAAGCTTGCGGCTAATGCTCAGCCGTTCAGCCCAACATGCGACAGATGGGACGGATGCGCATGTAGTGACACGCAACTCGACCTACCCGGAGCTAGCAGCGGAAGCTCGCGACTGATCCCATTCGCCTTTCACTCAACACGACGGAAAGATCTCACCACTCATCGAAGATATCATTTCCCGCATGCGTGGTTGGTCTGGCTACACCACCTCAACAACCTCCTTTTTTTTTTCTAATCCTTCCGTTTTCCATTTTCTTGGTTCCCGGGGAGACCGTGGTTCGTCGGCGAAGGGGAGGGGCGAGGGCGAACACCCATGCAGTGCGCTCCCACCCTAGTCTGACCGATCTCCAATCCTTGCCTCACCGGTGAACCCTTCACCGGACCCAAAATATGCAACTCTCTCTTTCAGGATTTTTTTTGCTGCCTCTCTGCACCTGCTGGTAATGGACATGGCCCCCCGGTCAGTGGGTAGGAGGGTGTCAAACGGGCTGCAAAGCCCCTTGCGGCATCGCGCCTTACTCTTTCCATCCGTATCTCGTCCTCTGGCTGGTTGGGATGACGGTAGGCACATGCAGGGGAGGGAGAAACCGGTCTGCAGGCTGCGATATTGGCAGGTCGCGAAGATATGTGTGGGGGAGGAACGGGGCGGGCTGAGCCAACGACGAACCCGAGGATCGTCAGCTCGAGGAAGCAGGCTCTCGTGATACGTTCACCGCCACGAAGTCGTGGGCATATATGAAGAGGATTACCCTGGTCGTTGGGCTGGCTTGATCTGGTCGTGTTGACTCATTCTGAGACGCTGTTGGGAGACACGTCTTGATCTAGATTCAGACCCTAGATTTCATCTGCCTCAGGTCGAGACAAATCATCAAAGCTCGAAGCCAGATCTGTCATCTGTCACTTCTCATCTTACCAGAAGCATCTGCCAAACAAAGACGACAACATGGCACCGTCAGCCTTACCCGAAGAACCGCAGATGTACGCCCCGACAGTCACCGAGATGGCTCGCGGCCGACGTTTCTACCCCTCCCACAGGTTCATCACAAGCTGTGGCACAGTCACAGTCGACCTCAACGCACGCCGGGTGCTCCTCGTGTATAACAAGCGCCATCGCATCCATCAATTACCAAAAGGCCGAAAGAACATTGGAGAGGATCTACTGGCGGCAGCATTACGCGAGACCAGGGAAGAAACCGGTGTTGTGGTGACCCCGATTCCGCTGCAGATCCGGACGAGGGCGACACCGGCGGATGCGCCACCCGGAGCGCCGGATATCACGGAAGAGACGGACAGCACGGAGCCGGTGGCCGTGTGCCACTACCCAGATCCGAACTCTGGCGCGATGAAGATGGTATTCTACTTTGTTGTTGAGGGCAGATCTGGACTTGCTCCAAATGGATGGACGGGCGAGGATCGGTCGAAATTTGATATTATCTGGGTTGACTTTGCCGAGGCGGCGGACAAGTTGGCGTTCAAAGAGGATGGCATGGTTGTCACCAAAGCTTTGGAGGACTTGCGAATTTCTGGGTATGACGCTTGATTTTCTCTGGTGCTGGTGCTCAACTGGGACGGGCTTGGCGTTGCGAATCGGAATGGGAAAGGAGACACATTTGTTGACGGGTAATTTGACTCGTTTGGGTTTTGTGTGTTGGTGTTTTGGTTTATGGGCTTTGATACCCATATACTTGGATAGCAGGGACCGGTTAAATTGTCAAAAGTTGATTGAATGCTTGTGGGACCGCGGCTCAGACATAGTATGTAGACATTTTTGAACTTTTGATCACTTTGATCACTTTGAGCGAAATCCAGTCGGAATTCATCCAAGGGGTCCGACAGAAGTCCCTGTGCCTCATCCTTCCGCAGGGCTCCCTACGTGGAGGTGAATTTAAGCTTATGAGTAGCTTTGGGGGAACGTGTGGGGCATCCCGACAAGTCAATGACAACTCCCAAAATCATCGGGAACCATGTGTAACCATTCACCGAGCCATCTGCCTAACAGTTCGTTCAAATACTCGAACCGGGTTGCTGAGTAGCTTGAGAGCCAAGACGTCCACAAAAACACACGAGAAGGTGCGAGCTAGGACAAAGACTTGCGGCATGCTGGGAACCCCCTTGCCGGAAGCCTTCCCCGGCAGCGTATGTCATGGCTGAAGCTATGTCCCTTAAATGTGGGCGAACCAAAGCACTGGGTTTTGGAGTAGGGCAATTGGAAGGTACACATGCAGATTAATGCATTTGTGCCCATCACTGCCTGAACATGTCGACACTGGATGATTTGGAATAGGCATGCGCAATAACGACATCAACAGGAGCTCGAACATTGTCATCGACTGCAACTACCGAAAAGTCCGGCCTAGCTCGGGACCGGCGCCGGCAAACGAGCGGGTCTCCCGGCAGGGTGGACCTCGATCCAGTACCGATTCAGTTTCATTCATGGATATGGTGACATCACCCCCCACAGCTACCCCTCCTCGTAACAGCTCGACTCCTTATCGTTTTACCCCTCCATTGAGAGAGAACGCGCGCGCGAGCCCCTCCCAATTCGCGAGAACGCCTCGTCCGAACACACAAGACGGCACAAGGAAAGCTTGCCCCCATTGACCAACCGGTGCCCCCCGCCCTACCTTATTCTTCGTCAATAAACGTCAGCGAAAACCGGAGAGCCACACCTTCCATTCCACTCTAGAACCAAGACAAACCCACCTGCCCATAATATTGGATGTCTTCCCACACTGCTAAAGCAGCCCGCTCCGCCTCCCAAGCTTTTTCCAGAGCACCCCTGGTCCAGAGAGCAACTTCTTCCTCCTCCACATCTGCCATAGCTTCGCGCTCAACAACACCAGCTTCCGTCATAACAGCAAACAAGAACTTCACTTGCTGCGGTTCCATTAATACATCTTCGCCTTTCACTGCACGACAGTTCTCGACACAAACCGCCAAAATGGCTACCACCATGCCCGCCCAGCACGGCCACCACGAGGCCTGCTGCAACATCCCGCCTGTCGTCGCCAAAAGCTACGAAGCCAAGGGCACCTACGAGGAGATTGGCAGCAAAAAGACCTGTTTGTCGGCCCTCAATCGCATCTACGACAGGAACTACCGCTGACCCATATTGCCTCGCAGACGTCACCGGTCCCGCCGATGCAAAGAAGGCCATTGTCGTAACGTTCGACATCTTCGGCTTCTTCCCCCAGACCCTGCAGGGTGCCGACATCCTGGCCACCGCTGGTGCCGAGAAGTACCGCGTCTTCATCCCCGACTGGTTCGCCGGCGAGCCCGCCAACATCGATTGGTTCCCTCCCGACAACGAGGAGAAGCAGCAGAAGCTCGGCGCCTTCTTCCAGAGGTTCCCTCCCCCCAAGATTGCCGAGCTGACGCCCGAATACGTCAAGGCCATTCAGTCAAAGTACTCCTCCATCGAGTCTTTCGCTACCATTGGTGTAAGTAGATAGAAATTGAGATGATAGCTTGCGAACAGAGAGCTGACTGGAGTTGCAGTACTGCTGGGGAGGCAAGGTTGTTTCCCTCGTCACATCTTCCGACAGCAACCCCTTCAAGGTCGGCGCCGAGGTTCACCCCGCCATGGTCGACCCCGCGGATGCCAAGGGCATCAAGGTTCCCCTGATCATGCTTGCTTCCAAGGATGAGGGCGAGGAGGATGTCAAGAAGTTCGATGATAACCTGAGTGTTGCGAAGCATGTTGAGATCTTCAAGGACCAGATCCACGGCTGGATGGCTGCTCGATCTAACTTGGAGGATGCGCGCGTCAAGGAGGAGTACACTCGTGGATACAAGACTGTTCTCGAGTTCTTCGCCAAGAACTTTTAGCATGTTACGCCTCGTGTTAGGTTTAGAGTCGTCTCAAGAATAGCGAGTCCAGATCCATCAGGCTTTTCTTTTAGTCACATTGATAGTGAGTGAACTTTACCGTCACAACCACAGAATACACCTTACTCTTCAGGTATAGTGTCAAAGTATTTTCATATGGTATACGAGGGTCTCTCTCCAAGTCCGCGATTATTGTAGCATTGACGTCTGGACATGAATCTGGGACAAAACTCCATGTGCCAGCCAAGAAGGTCAGTACTCATGGGCTCGACTTCAGAATAGTTGATGCAAAACATAATATGAGTAAAATATACATCTCGAAACAGCACTTAGTCCGACAAGTTAACATCTGTCTTGCTGGGTTCGGTCCAATTCCTCCCAACCTAAAACAGCCTCGCTCAATTGTTTAACCTGACGAAGCACACTAGCCTGATCAACCATGCGAAGCCCTTCAAGTCTATCCAGGGTGCGACCAAAAAGAACATTAAATGAGAAATCATCAGAAAAGTCAGAGGAGAGCTCATATGATGTACGCGGTGGTATGAAATCTCCAGGCTTAATACAAAGCCACAAGTCCCTCAACTCCCCATTGAAAGCTGTGTTGGTGTCGATGCCATTGAAATCAAGGAAAAATCGGACATAGCTGATGGCTCTGTCAGTAATGCCTTTATGGGGCATAAATCTTTCGCCGTCAGAGCCAAACTGGGACACATGCTCCAAAAGTAGCTGAACAACAACTCTGGCATTAGCTCCGTCAGCCGAGCCGTCCATCAAGGGAGGTCTGCCTCGCTTGTCAAATACTTCAACTTCGTCCACCATCTTTGACAAATCTTTCAACAATCCTGTCTTGCCTGAGGTAATGGCCCACCACAAGGGAGTGCGTTCGTGGTGATCCCGGACACTCATGAGCTGCTGACATATTATAGTGTTGCGTAGTATTGCTCTACGCACCCAAGCAATTGATGTAAGGTACTTCTTACGGTCTCTCCATTTTTCCCATTCAAGCTTCCTCTTCAAATCGTCTGTACTCAAGACTGAGTCGCGGCCGGCTCCTGCGGCGATTAAAAGCGCTGTTCGACCGAACTTGTCATAGCCTGCCAAATCAGCACCGAGTTCCGTGAGCTTCTCTAACATCCGCCTGTCCCCTGATTCAGCGGCTGACATGATGGGCGTCATGTTATTGTTATCTCTGCAGTTGATATTGGCCCCATGTTTTGCCAAAGTCATGACACAAGATATTGATCTTGCCGCTACAATATCCTCATTCAAGGCATTGTCAACAGAACCCGGTATTTCAATCGTAGCATTGAGTCGGATGGGAATATCCCAAGCTGGCCCTTCGTTGAAGCCAATAGCGCACAGAAGAGGGGTTCGACCTCGAGAATCTTGGGCTTCGGTTTGGGCACCAAAACTTAGGAGCATTTCTAGTATGGATATCATACCTCGCTTGGTGGCATAGAGCAAAGGCGTATCTCCATTCCGATTCATAGTTTCAGTTCTGGCCCCTCTTTTCAAAAGCACCCCCAATATCGACTCTTGCTCGTTCTCCAGTGCGTGCCAAAGTGGCGTGCGCCCTAGGTGATCTGTAGCCTCGATGTTGGCTTTATGATTCAGCAACACGACTAGCATCGAGTTCTGACCGTCCTTTGCTGCAGAAGCTAACAGGGTCATACCGATCTCGTTTTCGGAGTCAATGTTTGCGCCACCGTGAATCAGCGACTCAACGATCAACTCTTGGTGTTCCGTAGGCCATAACGCCGATGATTTTCCAGATTGCCCCAAGAATTTGGCGCCGTTCTGCAGGAGCATCTTTATTGTGTAAGGGTGACCTGATTGAAAAGCTCGCAATAGTGGGCTTCGTCCGGCTCTGTCACATTGTTCAACATTTGCGCCGTGATCCAAGAGAATGTTGACCACCTCATCGAAACCTCTGGCAGCCGCTAATAGCAAGGACCTGTTGTGAGACTCATGCATATTTTCAACTTTGATGCCATGATCGGGCGTTAAATCCTGCATACTCGGTGGCCGAAGTCGTGGGCGCTCGAGAAGAAGGCGGCTCATGGTTATGTCTCGCTGTTCAATACACATATCCAGAAGAGACGGGTCATTCGCGATCTCGAAGTTCAGATTTTCATCGGAAAACCGGATGAGTCTGCGAGCCACTTGCGAATGCTTGTGTTTTACAGCATTGAAAAGCGCCAACTGAAATGATTCTAGTTTTGGTTTGTATTGGCACCTTTCAAGTCGCAATATGTCGTTATCCAGGATGCTTTCGATCAACTCGTAGTGCCCTTGACGAGCTGCCCAAGATAAAATCGAACGTCCCATACGATCGACGAAAGCCACATCGTCTTCGGGTAATAACCGTTGGTTGAACACCTGCCGCAAGCCGAACCATGCTGCCAGATGCGCTCCCGCAGATGGTACATCCTCACCAACGTGCTCACTCAAGATAATAGCTATGCCCTCAAGCAGTTCTCGATTCTTGAGTAATTCGCCGATATTGGCCGGGAGCTTGTCACGTTTGCCTGCGTGATGCCCCCAGTATAGAACGGCGTATTCACAGAAAGGAAAATCGGATTTTCTGAGATCTTTGAGAGCCGAGGATTCGAAGTAATACGGTTTTCGCCAGAATGGAATATCCCGGGTACGGCTTCTGATTATTCGCTGAACCTGGCCAATGACAAGATAACGAACGCATGTATTTGCGATTTCGGCATCGGCGTCAGGAAACAGATTCTCGTTCCTTTTGTTAAAAAGCTCCTGGGTTGTTTGATGGACCAATCGAACGACCCCGCCTTGTTCGTCAAGAGTCACTAAACCTGCACATGCGGAAATGATAATATCAGCGGAGGGGATATTGTCTTCCTCTATATCCGGCTCGTCTTCCTCCACAGCTAGAGCATGCTGGAGTTCATGCATTTCCAACGGGCGCTTGGCGAATGCGATCCAAGAGAGGACCTGGTTTGCAAGCTGCACATGCGTAGGTGGTTGCACGCGGATTCTTTCCAGGGCCTCATCGTAGAAATATGCGTATGTGTCGTCCTCGGCAGATGCAGCAGCCAGAGCTTTTCGTACGGCTTGGAGGGATATCTTACAGGACAACGAGTCAATGAGCAACTTGGCGAGAAGAAACCTGACTTGATCAGTATTTGGTTTGATATTCTTTAGGGTAGCGAAACATACATTCCGTTGATTCTGCATAAAACGCCCTCCCGTATTTCTTCTTGAATCTCGGGGCGCCTCTGCACAAAACTTTGCATGTCCGGTATGCGACTCGAGATGTACCGTGATACATCAACGTCGCTGGCTTGAATCCGTAAGGTGCTTGCGCACTCTAAGTTAAACGATTCAATGATCTCGGGGATCTCTCTAGCTGTTGCCAGCACATTTGTCGGGTGTCGCTTTTGTAGCCGAGCGACTTCCGTCATGAGTGCTTGTCGACTCTTGGATTCACACTCGTCCAAAGCGTCAATGACTATGAAGACGCGGTGATAGGACGAAGCAACGGCCTGAAGCACGCCAGTAGTTTCCTCTAGAGTCCTGGAAGTCTTCTTTCTTTGATGCATATTGTAGAGTTCTTTGAGGCTGCTTGGAATTGGAGAGCGACATTGTGCAAGTTGCTTCGCGATGCTGGATAGCATGTCGTAGTGGTTTTGTCTCTCTTGATCTTTGAAATTGCAGTAAATGTAGGCTATGCCCACGTCAGAGCTGTCCTGGTACCGATGAAATAAGTCATCCACCACAACAGAAGCCATGATGGTCTTCCCTGCTCCCGGCATTCCGGGACAAATTATGGTCTGGTTCTGGCGTGAAACCCATGACTTGTATTCGTCGGAATCCAGGAGCCACTGGTTGGTGCCTCTATATCGCCTAGAAAGGTGGTCTCGCTGCTGCGGCGCATAGTCGGTGGCTGTCAACCAGTCCAATATCTCTCTTTCTTGGCGACTTGTCTGTTCATCGTGTATCGACGTAACGACTTGTTTCGTAGTATGTATGGCCTCGCTACACCCATAGTTAGTATGAACAAGTGCTACTGGCGGCAATGGCGCACCTGTCTCTAAAACCTTTGATTGCACTGAGGAAATGGACATTCATGGTGATCCGTTGTCGTAGCTTCTGAACGTCTTCGGGCTTCATCCGCAGGCGTCTCCAGACAGCCCGAGGTTTCAGCTTGGACAGCGTGCTCGTGCCCTCATGCTTTTCTAAGCTCGTGTTGTCGTTGTAAATAATCTCCAGCTCGCCCAGAAGCTTTGTGGATTCTTTGATGGGTGCGGCCAGGGCCTCTTTTTCGTTCTTAGTGAGTTGGTCTTCGATACGGCCAATGTACTCGAGTATCGACGTAAGGGAAGCAATCCTGCGGAAGAAACAATGGTCAAATGTGCTCGTCAGATACGATGATGACGGCCTAATCTTACTCGCGACCGAGAGAATCAAAGTGATCCGGGGCATCGGCGAAGCGCTCGCGATACAACTTCGCCTTATCCAGCACGGCGATAAAATCGCCGACTCCAAAACCGAAGCTCATGTTCGATCCCAACCGCCGCTAGGGCTGTGGACAGTCTTAATGTGGACACCGCAGATTGAGAGAAGCGTTTTTGGATGATGTTTAGTTGAAGCTTGCGGTCCAGCCTGATCCATAAACATGGTCGGGCTGGCTTACTCCGACTGCTGCGCCTTTTCGACTTGCAGATGATTGGTTGCCTCCCCGAGGCGTTGGTAACATTTGCAGCTTCATGGGTCACTGACATGATATCCCCGGTCGGAATACGACAACTTTGAGGCAACCACTAAATACCACCGAGTACGCTGCCCAACTTAAATGAAGCCAAAGCCTTCACAGCATGTTTGCTAAAGAATTTGATCGTTTCGAAGCAATCCTCTACCATGAGCTATTCTGTGTTGAGCGATAGCTAGTAGCAGATTTTACGAGCCGAGTCAACGGAAACTGTGAATATGACCCATTCATAGCTCTCAACGAGGATGGAACTGTTTGGGTGCGAGAGGAGACTGCTTGTTTTTGCAGTGCTAAAACGACTACTGTTCCTCTGGGCTCACTGTCGTTGTCGTTATTGTGCATCGTATGTCAACTGTCGTTCTCGACGACTCAAGATATGAAATTTATTGAACACGTATGGAACTTGACCGCGCACGCACAAGAAAAATAGTTCAATCCCCGCGGGAACATTCCTATGAACCATCACATACTCCATCACATACTCTTTGCGGCGCCGGTGGATGGCATCGTGAGCTTGAGTTTGTAGGCGAAGGCCGCAGATTAGATAGAGTGGAAGGTAGTGTCCTAACAGCGGGATCGTCTCTTGCTCAAGATGCTGGGGCTATCAGCCAACCAGGTCCAATCAAACCTGATAGTTTGATCGCAAGTAGGTCCTTACGCGGTAGCTAGAGACAGGACCTCTATCTCACTGGCATGTCCTTTGAAAAGTTCCTGCACACCACACAACACCACCAGAAACGATTTCATCGACAGAAATTCCAACATTTTCGCACCCGAAAGTTTTAACAATCCCACACAAGAAAATCTCAAAGAAAGCAATCATATTTCTGTTTTAATTTTTTTCCATTTATTTGCGTCTAACTTACGGATCAGGATGCCTCCCTTCCACATGTCGACTCAGACCATCAAGGACACTTTGGCTCCTCGCGAGACCAACGGTCACGGTGTCTTTCTGAAGAAACTTCACTGGTTCAAGAAGGAATCACAGGTAGAAGCCTACGTCGACGAAATCATTCGTCCGCGTCAGGTCATATACTACTGGCCACAAAAGGATGACAGAGCAAAGAGGGCCAAGCAGCAGAACATGGGCTTTGTTTCGATCGCGTGCGAGAACAAATATGGAGCAAGGTGCTCGTGAAGGAGATCAACCTTGAGAGGAAAAAGGGGGGATTTGATGGGCGGACTCTCCAAGCAGTCCATACAAATCGCAGACCGGTCAGTGTACAATCCTTTTCCGACTTTCAATTCCCGGCTTCACCCTGCCTCTTCAGAACAGGCATCCCACGAACAGACCGCCCCACACGCCTCCAGGCAACACGCCTTCAGCTTCAACAGCTCCTCCTCCTGCGTCGGACTCTCATCTCACGTCCGAAGACCCGGCATGTAATACCGCCCACATGAGACCATCCCACGCTACCACGACACCTGGAAACACTCATGCCGCCCATGTTGCCAATATTAAACCCACCATGACCGGTAATGCCTTGGTGGATTCCCAGCGTCAGAACAGGGGAGGTGGTCCTGCTGGGGAGGGTAGTGCGTCAGAATCAACGGAAGAGGATTCATACTTTGACGTCGAATCTCTCGGTCTAGCCTTGTCCTAGACTTGTCCATCATCGATTCCGACGATTTCTTTTTCACAGGCCGAACCTTCTGAGGCCTCCACCTTGACGACGATGCGGGCGCAGATCTGGACTACTAACTACAGTTCCTACGTCAAGGCCTTTACCGCGGGAAACCAATCATGAGAACGATGCTGGCAAGTTTAATCCTGCTTTTCCACCGGCGTTAGCCGAACTTTCTACCTTTCTAATGGCGTGAGCCTTGGCTTCGGCCTAATCTCATCACACTTCCTGAAGAGCTTATGCTCACTATTTCCTAACGGGTTTATGCCCATAGGTTGAGATTCCTTGGGCTTGGTACCTAAAGGTCGTTCTGGTATCCTCGAAAGAGGAGGGGTTCGAATCCCCAGCGATCATTTCTTTCTTCCAAGGAACTCAAGCTTGCAAATGACGATGGCATAACCCCATCAGCTGCTAGTATCTTCGCGTATTCGAAGGAGTTATGCTGGCCGGGCAGTATCACTTGGCTATTCGGCCAATGTTCCCACTAGCGTATCTCATACTTCTACAAGGACGGCAGTAGTAGAGAAAACGATAGGGATAGCGATAAAGATAACGAGGATGGAGGGCGACGATAGCGACGATAGCGACGACGAAAGCAAGTACATGGGAAATATCGTCGCTGTAGCACAGGAAAAATACGGGATCCGGCAGGGTATTGAATTACTCGCGTGTGTGGACACTGCCCGAACAATTAATTGACATTGCCCGGCTAGAAGAACTCATTCGAAGTGCGTCTATTGGATCAAAACATACGTTACTCCTGTCAACCCACAGTCTTAGTAACAACACCAAGTTCTTTGACCTCACTGCGTAAGTCACGTTACGCAATGATGGCTGCTCAGTCGCAGAGACATGTGATCTTGACAATACATTCTATTCTTGACTTAAGCTAAGTATTGCACCAAAGCTTCTTCATCGTTTTAATCCATCTAAGGCGTAAGTCTCTTGGGGGTACGAGGGTAGTAGCTCGCCAGGTGGACGGAAGGCAGGTTAAGGAACCAAGCCACAACACGGTCAAGACCGATACCGCCACCGCCGTGGGGAGGAACACCAGCGCTGCGGAACACATCGACGTACTCCTTGATGCCCTGGCTGTTGGGGTCGATGCCCTTCTTGCGCAGGCGAGCCTCAAGGACGGAGGGGATGTGGATACGCTGGCCTCCAGACAGAATTTCCTGAGATAATGTCAGCTCATCCAACCATAGTAAGTTGAAAACTTCTCTCTTCCGTCGTAGGAGAGGTAGGTTCGTCCTGTGAGGGACTTTCGCAGCGGCCAGCCGCCCGCACCACCGTAAGGGGAGAGTTCGCCGTCAGCGAGTCGATGACAACTCTGAAAACTTACCTGACCGCGCATGAAAAAGTCGTAGGCGTTCGTGACCTTGGGGTTCTCGGGATCCTCGAGAGCATAGAACTAATTCGTCATGAGCACAACTCCTTTTGAATTAGAATTGTTCGTACTTACGGGTCTAGCTCCCTCGGGAAACTTGTCCAACACGAAGAAATCGGTGTTGTACTTCTTTCGGATCAGGGCGCCGAGGGCTTTCTCCTGGAGTGCTGTGTCAGCGGACGTTCATGAAAGCGAATGGATCAGGGCCAAGCGTACCTGCGGCGTAGACATATCCTCATCGTCGGAAACGTTGCGGTACTCTTCGGGGCCTTCCTCGCGGAGGAGCTTCTGTCCTTCGGCGAACGTCATGCGAAGGACCTTCTCGCCAGGACCAGGGAGAAGGAAATCTTCGCTGGGGTAGACTGCGCGGACAGTTTCGATCTGCTCCGCACATCTCTCTTTGAGACCACGGAAGATGTAGAGAAGTACGTTCTCAAGCGTGTCCATCACTTCGGAATAGTCCTCCTCGATCTCCTGCTCGAGATCAAGTCCGGTAAATTCAGTGAGATGCCTCGGCGTGTTGCTGATGAAAGTCAGATACAAAGCTTTTGCAACATATCAAATGCGTTTTGCTGTCCGGACAGTGTCAGAGATATATTCGGACAGTACGCACCTTTCCAACCAATCAGAACCGCCACTTCAATCACACACACAACGACGCCCGAAGATGGCCGCGATAGCTTCATTTGTGCGCAGCGTGAAGTCGGGTTAGGCTAATGCGATTGATCTGATTGATTGGAAACGTGTGTACTGCCCGCATAGATTTTCGACACTGCCCGAATTGCAAGAATCTTTCAAATACGAAGTTGTAAAATCGTACCTGTTCTCTGCTCTAAACACAGGCCCGATACAGTATACCTAGAGTGGTCAATAATTGTTCTGGACGGAAGACGGATTTTTGGTACCTTCTTTCGGCCTCCGGCAATCTCGAACTGCTTATAAAATTGCGGACTCTGGGCCAAGCAAGCACTCTTTTCGAAATAAGGGAGCTGGAACACGTTGGCTCCACCCTCAGACGCGGCGCCAATCAGGCAGGGAGGCTCGAACTGGACGAAGCCCTGCGAGTCCAAGTAGGAAGCAAATAACTTCCTCACTTGCATGCGGACTGAGATCGTTAGCATATAGTCTGGTCTTGGGTCTTGGAGAGCTTACTGTCGGCGATCGCCTGTTGGCAGGCCGCGCGCTTGTGCATAACCGGATTGTTGAGATGGGTCGACATGCTGGCGCTAGGCATAGCGTTGCTGTCGTCGATGCTGACACCCTCAACACCGACCTTAACCTCCTCAACGGCCTTGTCAGCCGGGGGAGCGTTGGGGTCCTCGTCGTCGAAGCTGGAAATGGCGCGGTTGGAGACGGCCAGCGACATGGCCAGGGACTCGGGACCAGGGGCGACAACGAAGAGCTTGGTGATGTGAAGCTCGTAGTTGCTGACCTTGCAGCTCTTGACGGGCTCGAGAGGCTTCTGAACGGTCGCCTCGATGAGCACAAAAGACTCCAGGGAGATGCCGCCAATCCACTTGACCATCTGCTTGGAAACGGGCTTGCCCTCGGCACTGGCCGCAATCACGCCCTGGATAGCCCAATCGCGCTCCTCGCGGAGCTCGATGAAGCACATCTTGGCGCCCTGCATGCGCGAGTTCTGAATCCAGGCGCGGAGCTTGATGCTCTTGCCGACGTGGTCGTCACCAATGGCCTTCAGGTTCACGCGCTCAGCGTCGACCTTGGTCTTGGGAGTGACATCGCCGTAGTTGTCCTTGGCCAGGTCCTCACCACCAGCGCCGCCGGCAGCCTTCGCGGCGGCCTCAGCAGCCTGGCGCTCGGCGGCTCTCTTGGCCTTCTCGGCCTCCTTCTTCGCCTTGGCCTCGGCCTTCTTCGCTCCCTTCTTGGACTGCTTCTCACCACCCTCCTCGCCGGCGGGGGCAGCAGCGGCGGCGGGGTTTTCGGTGGGCTTTTCGGTCGGCGCGTCAGCCATGTTTGCGGTCGAGCTTGATGTTTCGAGGAAACAATTGGGAGTCGAATGGAGGGTTGGCCGTCGGTTTGTTGCGTTTAAAAGGGCGATTCCGTGACTCTCGTGGCCTGAGCTTTCGGTGTGACTGTTCAAAAAAAAAAGAGTGACACCACGGCCTGGATATTTCGATGGAGGGGCAGCGCAGAGGTGGGGTAAGGAGCTCTTGCTTATCGATAAGCCGCGTGCGCCTTCCCCATGCACCAAAGGCGTTCGCGGAGTGACTCAATTCGCGTAGTTTAAACTTTTTGGTATGGAATTGAGGTAGTCTTGAAGCACAATGCAATTTTCATGATTCAATTGGCTTTTAGGCCAGCAAGTTACTACAATTAGATATCTCAATCAATCCTTCCTCTCCCGTGGTGCACAATGCTACCGAATCAAACGCCAAACCTGAATTGCCAATCCTGGTATGCTGCCGCCCTGAAATGAACGCAAAACGTGTAATAGGTACATACAGCAATGGAATCTTTCTAGTGCCGTTTTCAGAATACAGTAGAGAAGGCCTTTTAGCTTCCAATGGATGCGAACTAAGCAGCCAGAGAATTCGTTTCAGACTTCTCGCAGGTGAAGAGATTCACGTGGTAATCGCCCCGGGCTGCACATGCAAGAATAGGCCGATGGGGGTGGAAGGACGTGGCTGCAATCGGTGATCCCCTGTTCTGCTGAAGGAAGCTCGAGTACGGCTCAACGCGAGACAACTCATGCCCGTCGAAGTTGAAAACCTTAACGGCATGCGCAGAAGTACCACTAAGTGTCTGGTCAGTACCTTGTCGTGAAAGATTGAGTCTTGGTTCACTTACACAGCAAACACCGGCAGGTGTTCATGGGTGCTGGCTGTCCGGAGAGTATCTCGCGTCGTCTGGTAAACTTGAAGTGGCCGGTCCATGCGGATATCCCATAGCTTCACCTTGCCGTTCCTGCTTGCGCTAAGCAACTCGCGTTGTCCGCCACGTTGCATGTGGACACTCTTGATCCACTGCCTGTCTGTCTCGTCCTTCCACTTCTTGACCATGGAGTCCTGTGCTCTCAGACGCGTGTCGAAAACGCGAACAGCACCGTCTCCAAATCCAGCGACGAGCGTGTTGCCCGTCATCTGATCAGAGGTCAAAGAGGTGACACAGGACCCCGACCGAGCGGGAATGTCCATGATGCATGTCTCGTATGCTGCAGACCACACTCGGATTACTCTCACATCGCCAGCCACTAACACGCGACCTGTTGACTGCTGCCAATCGAATACCATGCCCGAGTTCACATTACTGGGTACCATGTGCGTGAGAGCCCGCCATGCCGAGGCTAAGTTGATGGACTTGTCAGAGTCGTAGTTCTGGTAGATCCGGATCACGCCATCCGACGAACCCGTCATCAGGAATGCCTGGTCGTCTTCGTTGATGAACTTCATGTCACTAATTCTTGACCCTTCAGGGCTGCCATTGGAGAACTTGCTGAGTCGAGCGTGCTTCTTCCAGTCCCACACGCAGACCGTATTCCCATCGTCGGCTACGGCAAGATGGTCCTCGAACTGGTGAAATTCCATCTTGGCTGGCTGTGAGCCATTGTTGGTGATGCCAAGCTGGTTGTTCCACCTGTGACTGCCAGCATACTGCTTGAGTGGTTGTGTCTCAGTCAGGATAAAATCATTGCGAGATCTTCTCCAAAGACGTTCGTTGTACTCGGTACTGCCGGGCTCATCTGACTCGCTGGGCTTCATCTGAGGCTCGCAAAAGTACTCAATGGACCACTCCAAGAAAGTGCTTCGGAGAGGCAACGTTGGAGTTTCCTCGCCCACTTTTCTCTCCTCATAGCCACCAGAAACGGGCTCTGGCGCGACGTGATAGTTGGCATGAATTGCCGTGGGGTCGCTCTGTTCCGGTGGCGCGGCAGCAAGCTCAGGAGCCTTGATCTTTTGGGATCCCACCCTTTGCAGTCCTGGTGAGGGCGCCGGTGAGCCATAGTTGGGCTTCTCGCTGTTTTCCGCTTTGCCATCGTTGCCGAATAGAGGCAGAGTGAACAGCAAGCTCGCTGTGCGGCGGAGCAAGCTCGGGGAGGCTAGCGGTGGGGTCGCCATGGCGTTGGAGACTCCGATGGCAGTGCTTCGCTGATTCAAGTTCAAGTGATTCTTTGTGGAAGCTCGCTTCGCCCTCTTGCGGATGTCGTCAATTAGGATCTGAGCATGTTCACCAATGGCCGAAGTCGCGACTGCCTGGTGGACGTAGTCCACAATGATGGTTGCATCGCGCTGAACTTCGGGGTGAGGGTCGACATTGAGCATCAAGGCGTGCTTCCAGCAGGCAGCAAAGACAGTATTATGCGCGAAACCGTGAGCCGTAGGCTTGATGGTTCCGTCAGGATTTCTGTTCTCCTTGCGCGTATAGTGCAACCCCATCTTGTGATCCATGCCATCTTGGCCTGGAGGAAACAGCAGGTACTCCCTCTCCTCTTGCAGTTGTTCGTACGCAGCAACGATGAACTTGCTCTCGAAGCGGACGATGAACCGAGACAAGAAAACGAGGAATTCCCGGCGAACCATTGGGCTTCCATCGTTGGCCATATCCAGTAATGTCCAGGCAATAGACTCTTCGATGCGAGCAACTTCATCAGTCAAGTCCATTATGCCAAGGAATGTAGTCATGGCATAGAGCATGGCTGCGCGGACCTCGCAGCACGGATCCTTTGTCAAGAATGATAACTTCGCTGGAGCGTTCTCCCGGATACCGCGCCATTTGGCTTCGGGGAGCTCCTGCCACAGCTGGCTGATGCACAGACAAGCCCACTGCCGCAACAAAGGGTTCTCTTGGTTTTGCAGATGGACCAAGCAGTAGGTCATGATGTCCGTTTGGTTGCACACGCCCTGGCCGGGACGGTGGTCCTTGCAGAGCATGGACAGGATGAAAGCGCACATAGCCTTGTGCTCTGCTTCGTTGACGACGGGCAGACTTTCAGATGGCTTGAGGATTTGGGCAAAGTAGTTGTAGCCACTGTCTTTGATGAGATCGCCCTGGCATGTGATGTCAACTGCCAATATTCTTGTCCAGATGAAGATCATGACAGGCTTCAGCTCCGCCGCCGCTGACTGCAGCAGTTTCAATACGTAGGGGAAAATGCCTATGCTCAGAGCAAGCTGGACAGCCCATGGCCCCAGATCAAGGAACCTTCCGAGAAGAATCAGAGCCCTAACTCTGTGCTGCTGACTTAGAAGAACTTGAAGAACAACGGGAAGCTGCTCTGGTGGCCTTTGAGACATGGCGTCGCCCCGGGTCAGGTAGACATCAAACGCCGTCAGCTGCTCTGTGAAGAAGGTTGAGTTCTGGTACTCATAGTCAATGCCCTCATTCTCCTTCCTCTCGAGCATGGGAAGCTGCGCCAAAGCCATGTCTACGGCAAGATCCCAACTCGCCCAAAGAGGATGCTGGCGTGTCTCAGGAAGCTCAGGGAACGACTGCGGGTGGCAGCCATAGACTGACATGATCCTTTGGGCGAGGAGGAAGTTGCGAAATAGCGCAGCGACCATGAGATCCTGCCTGAAGAATTTGCGGAACAGATGTCTTGGTAATGTTGTCCACGCAATGGTGTCCGTGATGGCCGTAAAGATCCAGTTCAGCTCACCGAGTGGCGTTCTTCTCTCCTGTAATCTTCCTGGTAGCTTCTTGGCCCTCTCTGGGCTGATGTTGGTCTTGAGGGGATTCTGGAGAACGAAGAACCAAAGAGCCATCTCGATTGGAGTCGTAAGGCAAGCAGTGAACAAATCTGCTGGGAGGAGGGGGTTTGTCGGAAGATTCTCCTTGACGCCGCAAGCAGCAAGGTGTATATATGGCTGGAACACAGTCTTCTCGTAGTTCGGGTCTCTCGCAGCGGCCTCGTCTTCCTCTTGCTCATGCTTTTCTACGAAACGATGGTAGTTGTTGAGGATGTTTCCAGCTTCGGAACAGTCCCAGACGTATATCGTCGGGGCGTGCAACCACTGCTGAAGATCGTACAGTGACACCGGAATGTACTGTGTGTAGTTTTTGTTAAAAACCCAGATCTCGCCACTGGCAGTAGGCTTCGGGACTCCATGGCCGTTGTAGTGGAGCAGGACTCGCTCGTCCTTCGCATTCCTACGCAAAGACTGGCAGAACTTCTTCGTTTCTTCGACCGAGGGATCCAAATACTGCTTGTACCGCGTGCGGATGGCAAGCGTTTCGTACTGCGCCTGAAGTGCCTTGCCGATGTTCTCAAGAGCTTTCTGGGGCGGCGGAGTGGTAGGGTCGGTCCAGGCCTCGAGCTTGGCACCTGGGTTGGTCTTGAGCTGGTCAGGAGGCTCGACGGAGATGTTGAGGCACACAGCTAGGGCAGCAGAGACGGTCTTGAGCCTGTCCCGCATGCGCCAGTCCTGCAACTCGTGTAACGTCGCCTTCGGTTTGCCGGTCGTCTCGTGTCGTTTATCGGTCCAGTACATGTACCAGTTCTGGAAACAGGAGTCAGTACGGTTCAGGATGCGTAAAGATACCAGCAGATCCCAGTGGCTCAGTGAAGCAGCGCCTTCGCAATGGTAATCATCTGTCTCCATGGCTGCTGGCACAGCCATTGTTGTCATCCATCCGGGTGACTGCATGGTCTCGCAGATTCCAAAAAGGATGGAATGTTGACCCGGAGTCGGGTGCTGTGGTGCCCCGCGGCGCCCCTCAGGACTGGAATCCGGACGAGTATGCTGCAGCTATGGCGTACGAAGCCGGCAGCAAAGCACGAGTCTCCTTTCTTTCCGCGGCGCGCGCAGACGGTGACTACGGCTAGCTGGGGGACGCCGCCACAAGGCCGCCAAGTGGGGAGGCGCAGAGCTTTGGATGGAGAAAAAGGAAGCCGTGCAAGTGATTCGGATCAAGGAGAGAAAATGGTATACTTACATTGGCCAGTGCAGCGATGACATCCGGGGACTCGTGATACTCTTCGAAACCGTGTCTTGCGCCCCAATGCGGGATGTCTTCCTCGGAGTGATCGACCTCGTCGGCTTGTCGGGAGCCCCCATATTCGCTCTTTGATCGCATGAGCAGCGGTTTTACTGATGGCCGCTTCGGCCTGTCTGAGTCGGATTGCTCGCCAGCCGGGAATCCGATGGTAGGGATTTGCTTGTTGCCGGGCGCGCTCGATGGGCGCCTGGCAGAGGAGTCGTCGTGGCTCGTAGATCGTTGGAGGCCTAGAGGAGGGTGGCCATTTGGCGGAGAGGGTTGCGCCGTCGCATCGGCGAAGGCAGAAGCGCCGTTGGGACGCTGAGGGGGAGGCATCGTGGGACTTCCATTAACACCAAGCAGCGCGGTGCTGTTGGTCCTTCGCGATATGCTGGGGTAATGGCGGGGTTGAGAGGAAGACAGCGTGGGCGGCTTGGAGGAGCTCGACTGTCGGAGATGGCTGGCGGGCGAAGGACGGGGGTGAGGTTGGTGTTCTTGCACGGTCGCAGCGGTCATGGTGCATTCGGTGACGACGGGTGGGTAGTTTCAGTGTTGACGCGAGGACCACCTTTTTTCATCCAGCATTTACCGCGACGACATTTCGGGACTGCAGCAGTCGGGCGGGGGAGAGGTTGATGGAGTCGAGAGTTGGGCGTGCGATTGCGGTGACGCGAATTTGGGGGTCAGGTTGGCGTTGGCGGCGCAGTGCCAGCGTCTAGCCTGGAGAACCCACAAAAAATAGGAATGGGACCTTGAGCTGAGGTCAGCTCTCGCAACCAAGCCTATCAGCAGCTGTGTCTGCCGTTGCCTCCCATTGACTACCTTTCTAGCAATTTTTAGGAGTCTAACAAGTGCTTCTAGGTACCTAGCGAGCAACTCGGTTCTCAATTCCATCGATGCCCGAAGCGCTGTCCGACGGGAGATAGAAATCGTCAACATGACATGTGAAGCAGTTCATCTAATGCTACGGCGTGCACCCCAGAAGTGTGATGTCGGGACTGAGCAGCAGGAGTGGAGGCCAGCCGACCGTGACCTCAGGCCGTGGGTGGCATCGGTGTCGGTACAGACCGAGGTCCTGAGATGACCGACCCCGTGGATGGAAGCAATGGAAGTTTGGAACAGCGACTGACCTGGGCCTGACCGCCTTTCAGCTCCGCCTCTCCGCATCTTCGCTGGCGACACCATCCGCCGCCCGCGCCGCCAGTCCAGCTAGCACCACTTCAACATCCGCTCCCGCATCGGCGGATGAGGTAAGCGAGCGACACCTCGACCGGACGCACGGTCCATTTGCAAGATGTGCTGGGCCAATTGGATTCGGTAGCCGGCATCTTCACCTGACCTTCCTCGTCCAACCACTCATTCGCGCGCTCTCGCTTCCTGCTGCACCGCGCAACAATTGTCTCGGTGGCTAGCCAATCAAAGCTTCCGAGACTCATTTCATCAAGGTAAGGCACACCTGATTGAGGTGGGCACAGAGGCGAAAACAGACAATCGCATCAGATAAGGTACTCAGCAACTCAGAAGCATCTTGTCGTGGGGAAACAACAGACGTCCACATCAGACCCGAATGAGAGTCTTGCTACGATCGCCAATGTTTACACTGCCGCTCCAAACGGCACCAAGCGGGATCATCGCAGCTCTCTCCGTCTTAGCAAATCGGAGAATACGCAACGTTCCTTGGACCTTGGGGCACTTTCCCCTGGAACGGTGGGGAATTGGCTTGCGGGAACGCGGGCGCTTGAGAAACATTGTCTCGCCCAAACGGTTGGCTCATTTTCTACTGCTCTTCCTTCTTGCTTCCCTTTCAATTCTTATCCTTCCCTCCTCAGTCTGTTCTGCGGGGATGTCATTTCCTTTTCATGGTGGATCGTCGCCTCTCTCTTTCAGTCTCTCCATAAGGTACCCAGACTCACGCACGTCATACCGCCCGTTTACGTGCCTCCAAATCTGCTGCCATACCTTATCTTCTTACACAAGTGTAAGGGGTGTCATTCGGACCCGGTTGCACCTGTCGCTGATGTCCGCTGGTTGAGGTTCTGGTTCTGGTTCTGTTTCTGTTTTTTTGACGTCCATCGTCCGTTTCTGCTGCTGACGACGCCGCCGACGACGCCCAGGGCTGCGGCTTCTGCTCCACAGGAAGCCGAACAGGGCCATCGTTGTTGAGACGGTTTATGCTTGAAGCCCCAATGCGGCTGGTCTTTTCTTATCACTCACGGCCTTATAAGATGGACTAGTCGGTTCGTGGTCGGCCGATGCGTCCATGCGCTCTCAGATGCGATCGTGAGGGTCCATCCTGTTTGTTTTCTCGGCTCGGTCCTGGACTCTCCCTGCTCCAACACGAGCCTCACTACCGTTCCGCGTCTCTCCCGTCCAGTCTCTTCCGTCCAGTCCCTCTTCCTCCCGCGCGTTCCCTCCCTCTACCTTATGGACACCTGCAGAGTAGGCCACGATCAGAGTTGGATGGCGCCGCGTGGCCCTTCTCTCCGGCTCTCGTCTGCTTCAGGCCTGCGCTAGAGCTCAAGCGCAAGCTCACCAGAATGTCGCATCTTATTCTCAGACGCGCCATCTCATTGCAGCATTCTTTTTGGCGATTTAGCAGCCAGGCTAACATGTAGGTTAATTTACCAACATTCCGCGCGCATTCCATCGAAGCCTCGGTCTCAGCGCCACGGCTGCTCATCCCTCCTAGAGTCTTTAGGCCGGCATCCGGACCCAAGCCAAGGCGTAGTACGGCAAGATACCTCAACGTCTATGGTGTGGAGCACGTACCTCGAACCCTCACCTTAAGACTCCTCCATTATCACTGTCTCGCCAGCGGACCGTGGTCTACACACAGTGTACGGCTATGGATCTCCTCGCCGTCTCCAGCCAAGTCTGCCGCCCGGAAAGTATTCCCGTCGTCCTGTTCTCAACCGTCCAAAACCTGCGGCCGCTGCCGGTCTTCGAAGTCTCTGGGAGTCCGTGTACCTGAAGACGGTCGAATGGCGTTGGGGGTTTAGGGGACATGAAACGCACCACCTCATGGCAAATGGACCCCCTTGAAGGGAAATTGTTCTCAATGGAACCGCCCTCTTTCGCTGCGACGGAGGAGGCACCCCTAGGACCAGCCCGGCCCATTAAAGGAAAGTCCTGTGGAAGAATTCTGCTCAGAGGCAATTGCTCCGAGCCTCATCTTCTTTTCCTATTCTGCTTTTGTCGCTCTGGCCAGGAACAAGGGCGAAGCAGATTGGGATTTTCATGAATTCCTGCGCCCTCGGGCCATTCGACTGCCTCGCTTCTGCCCGTCAGAGACATGTACATACGTCAGAAAGGGACGAGGCGGGTCCTTTGCACTTTCTCAAAGCAACAGCGTCGCGACCTCTCTGGAGCCAAGAAAAGTTGTTTGAGCAAGTCGGCCTTAACCGTTCTTTTTCATACTTTTTGCGCGGCGAAAGGGTCTCGGGGGTGGCAGCGGGGAATGCCAGGCGCTCCATACTGGACGTCATGTGTGTGCCCATGTCTTAGGCCGAGACTTGATGTTTGTTCAGAAGAAATACCTAGGTGTCGTCTTGGACGACCGATTGACTTTGAGCTCTGGCTGGCGTGGCACAGAATACGGTTGTGCAATACGGGACCACGGACGTCAGCAACGTCAGACTGGCAATACAAGACGGAGGTCGCCCGACTCAGAGACCTATGATCTGCAACGTCCCGTGGCATCGGACTGGGGACAGCGGTGGGAGCGTTGATGGAGGCGATACTACGGTGATAACAAGGACGGCGCGTGGCACCCAGATTCGTTGCTGCCGGGATTGCGGCGTGGACGTGGGACTCTACACTACAACAGCAGCCGAGCCCAGGATGTGTCTGACTGCTGGACAGCCGAGAGAAACCAAACAGCCAAACAAAGACAAACGTCGGGCGTGTCCGGACGATCACTGTCAGAAGGCTGAGAGTTGGCTTTGACGGCAACTCTCACATGGGACTTGGCGGGTTGCAGTTCGGATCTGCGGATGGGCTTGCGATGTCGCGATGGAAGGATGATGCCAGGCACAAGAGAGGCTGATGAGTGATGATGATGCTGCTGCTGCTGCTGCTGAGGGAGCAGTCCAACACACCAAACAGGCAGACGTAATTGCACACACAATAGGCAGGCACAGCAACAAGTGTCGACTTGGGGGCTCTCGACTCAGTCAACGGAACGCATCAGGTCGTGCCAAAGGAGCCCTTAATAGAACCTTGAGTCTCCATCAAGATCTTTAAATACCTGGGGGCGTTTGGTACCAAACCAGAGACGGTCAAAGTCAGGTACCTGGGAGTACATGCCCCGGCAGCCAGAGTGGACTGTGGTCCTCTTGGGCACTTCGCTATCCATCGTGTGTGGGTTGGGGAGAGGGGACTGGCTGTCAGGAACCAGACAGTGTTGCGGTGCAATTGCCCAGTTGGAGTTCCCTCGTTCGCCAGCCCCTTTCGCAATAAACGGGTCACAGGCCACCGTGCAGAGGGGAGACCGACAAAAAGTGAGGTGAGGTGAGGTCAGGTACCGCACAGTTACAAGATGAGCCCTACGGATGACTGCCCAAGCCACGTGTCTCGAGGTGTATTCCCGATGTCCCGCCTGATGTCCGAGGATCCTCTCTCCCATCCCTCGTCCTTCTTCACCCCACCGTAACGAAGGCGCCTGCAGCCTCCCCGTGCTCCTCTCCTCTAAAAAAGTTTCCCATTATTTTCTTTTTGGCCTGGTGCTGTGCCGTTCCCTACGGGCCACCTCCCCTACAGACTGCTAGCCCCCTACACCCCCCCCGGCCATGCACAAGCGAGCGGAACACAAGCTGCGTGGGATCCCATTGGCTGAGGTCGGCTGAAGGACAAGCCCCTAGGCAGGTGCAGCGCGCAGTGCAAGGCGGGCATTTGGCAGTGGGCGTGGGTGGGCGGAGAACAGGCCAGCGCAGCGACCCGACGGAGCCAGTCAGTGCAGGAACAGCAGCCCCAAAACGGGGGGAGCTGGACACCACCAACTGGCCCGACTGGCACTGCACCACCTCCTTCAGCGCATGTGTGAGGTGGGCTCTCGCAGACATGGAACTTCAGGTACCCAACTCTGAGGTCCTCCTTGGGCTGCCAAAGGGCAGTGGGTGCCCTGAGGACCGTGAGCAGCTGCAGGTGGGTGGCCTGCTTCTGCTTTGGACTGTAGACCGTGAGGTGCATTGCTTTGCTTTGCTCTGCTTTGCCTGGGTGCCGCTGCCGCTAATGCTGGGTGCCCTGTCCACTGCTGCCGTGCCGCTGGCAACTGCCTGCATCCCCATCACTTCTCGCTCTCCAATCCCCATTGTGGCATTTCCCAAAACCTCCTTTTACATTTGCGCCAAGGAGAGGCAACGAGCGACTTGATACACAGCAGTCTTTCCCTCCAGCCTTGTCCTCCCGTTTGCTTGCTTGCTTGATCGCCTCAGTCTCCTTTCACTTAACCTCGACACGTTCTCTCAACGTCAAGACCAGCATCGGCGCCAGCAACAGCGACAGTCTCAGCGCCGTAT